AGATTCACACAGGTTATGGGAAAGGTGCTCTTCCTTCTGTTTCCCTGTGCTCCCCTGGTGACCAGAGATGTGGCCAGCTCCCACCCTCATCCATCCTCAGTGCAGACCCTGCTGTCCAGGAGTTTGGAGCTACATGGCTGGGAGTTACACCATTGTGAGGCAGGGGCCAGCTGTACCATTTTGGTGGCTGGATTCAGGTGGGTTTGACTCACGACCAACAGAACCCACAGAACCACGAGACTAATGTCAGTCTAGTAGAAACTTTCGTAACCAGCCACCCTACCCCAGCTGCCCTGTGGTTCTAATAGGCATTGAAACCAACTCATCAATGGCCTCTAGAAATAACTTCCAGATTGAGTACACTGTTGTAGTTAAGTGCCATCGAGTCAGTTCCAACTCATAGTGACCCATATAGGGTTTCCAAGGAGCAGCTGATGAATTTGAACGACTGACCTTGTAGTCCAGTGCATTTTCCTGAAGCACCACACCAGGACTCCGCCCCGAGCATAGATAACACCTAAGCCTATAGCAACTCCTAGGGCCTAGAATTCCACTGTCACATCACTGTGACACACACCTTATAAGCTCCTTGGCTGGCAGGAACCCCATGAAGTTCTCTCCGGCATCCTGTTGTGGCACTGTGGGTTAATGCGCTGGACTACAAAGTCAGTTTGAACTGGAAGGTATATGCAGTTCAAGCTCATCAGCTGCTTCTTGGAAATCCTATACAGAGTCACTGTGGGTCGGAACTAACTCAACGGGACTCAACAACAACAGATCCATAGTTGCACTGATTTTCTTTGTTTTTTGTGTGTTTTTCCTTTCATTGTTACATTGATTTTGTTTGTTTATTCTTCTCCTTCTTCTCTTTACATTCCCTTGGATTTTATCCTTTCTAGATCTAATTTTATTTTTCCTTCTTTTCCATTTGATCATTCTTTACTACTCTCTACTCTTTTTGTCTTTTCATTATCTTCCCTCTCTCGGATTTTTTGTAGCTTTTAAATATATATATATCTTCCTTTTATTATCTTACTTTTTTCTTCTTTAGTTACATTTTCTTGTCCCTCTTTTCTGTTAGTTACTTTTCTTCTGTTATTGCCTGTTTTTTTCTCTTTTTCTCTTTTTATTTTCTCTTTTCATTGTTGGTTGCCTATTTGTTTATTCTGTTTTGTTTGTATGTGTGAAAGTTGGGGGTGGGGTGGGAGGGTTCTCATCTTTCCCACTTGATAAGGTACAGCAATCGTACCCACTCGGCAAGAGCCAATACCACCTCCTATACCACCTCATTAACAATAGACTGCAGCCAACACCAGCCAAAACCAACCTAAACCGAGGTGCATGGGCAGTGAACAGTGAGGTGCATGGGCAGTGAACAGTGTTCACACTTCCACTTTCTAACTACACATACAGAAGACTGTTGGTGAGAGCCTAAGAACACATCAACATGCAATCATCAATCACATACAAATACAGTACCACAGTGTCCTAGAGACAACAATTTTAGCTCACATGAAGAAATGAGAGCGATGGCTCAAGCAAATGACCAAAATGCAGAGCCAGAACACATTTCTGAGGAAGAAAAGGTAATGGAACTAACTGAAAAAGAATCCAAAAGATTGATATTGAGGTGCTTTCAAAGGTTTTACAGAGAATAATGAAAGGACAACACAAACAAAAAAAAACTGTAGAAGAATTCAGGAAAGCACTACAGGAGCAAACAGACAGATACAAATTTTGAAACATACAAGACCTGCAGTTATAAATCCAAAAGATTAAAATGAAGATTTCAAAAATGGATAATACATTGAAAAGGCAAAGGAGTGGATTTGAAACAGTGGAAGCCCAGATTAGTGAGCTTGAAAATAAATTTCTCTATACTAACATGCTAGAAAAACAATCAGAAAAAATTAATGAAAATATCCAAAGAAAGTCTACTAGTTATGAGTGACACCATAACGAGGAATTACTTTCAGATGATTGGAATTCCAAAACAGGAAGAGACAATAAAAAGCACAGAATTGTCAAAAAGTTATTCAAAGAAAACTTTCCTAACATCATGAAAGAAGCTGAATGAATCACAATCGGGATTGTTGTTGTTAAGTGCTTTCGAATCAGTTCCAACCCATAGCGATCCTGTATAGGGTTTCCAAAGAGCGGCTGGTGAGCTTGAACCACCAACCTTGTGGTTCAAACGACTTTGCAGTTCAGCACATTAGCCCACAGTACCACACTAGGACTCCAATCAGGATGATCCCCCACAAAAAAATCACCAACATATATCATAATCAAACTTTTTAAAGACAAAGACAAAGAATCCTAAGAGCAGATCAGGAAAAATGAAGTTACCTACAAAGGAGAACCAATAAGACTGAGCTCTGATTTCTCAGCAGAAACCATTCAAGCAAGAAGGCAATGGGATGACAGATACACAACTCTGAAGAGAAAAAATTGCCAACCAAGAATCATATATCCAACAATCAAATATGACAGTGAAGTTAGGACATTTCCAGATAAATAGAAAATGAAAGAATTTGTAATAACCAGCTTTACAAAAAATACTAAAGGGTGTTCTTTGGCCTGGGTCCCAACAACAGTAGACAAAAACCTGAGATTAACATACACCCAGATATAGTAGTATTTAAAGTAAAACAAACTTCTTGTTGTTATGTGTCATTGAATCAGTTCCAACTCATAGCAACCCTGTATAGGGTTTCCAAAGAGTGGCTGGTGAACTTGAACCACTGACCTTGCAGTCCAGCACATTAATCCATAATGCCACACCAGAACTCCAAAACAAACTTACATGACTGAAAATAGGGAACCAGAAATACAAATTTATGATGAAGTCAACTACAGAGCAAAAGGTGGGATTCCAAATAGTGAGGAAGTCAAGTAGATTTCCAGATAAAACAGACTGTTATAAATGGGTGAGGGGGGAAATAACACAACAAAAATTAAAATTAAAAGAAAACCCACAAACAAAATGAACTTAGGGCAGAAATTTATGTAGAACAAAGAAACCAGCACCACAAAAAAACACAACACAAAATGATAGCCATCAATTCATACCTATTGATAATTATACTGAATCTAAAAGAATTAAGTGTACCATCAAGAGAGTATAGCAAAATGGATAAACCAGGTTCCTTCAATATATTCCTTCAATAGATACATCTAAAAATTGAGACAGATTAGGCAAACTTTGATCCATACACACAATGGACTACTATGCAACCTTGAAGAATAGCGATGAATCTGCCAACCCCTCACAACATGGACAAGCCTGAAGGACATGATGCTGAGTGAAATTATCAAACACAAAAGGACAAGTATTGTTGAGAGCACTGTTGTAAAAAGTTAAAAGATTTTCTTGATGAAAGAAACATTCTATGATGGTTACTGGAAAGTGAGAAGGGAAAATTATTCACGGACTAGAGGGTAGGCCATATATAATAAGAGATGTTGACAGAGGAAGGACATAGGTAGTGGGAGACACAGGGAGGAATTCAAGAGTTAAGCGAATAGAGATAAATACGATTAATTTATGGTACAAAGAAGGGATTTCAGTCATTGTAACGAAGCAAAGTATATGCTTTGTTGAATGTAAAACTGGTGATCTGCTCTGCAAACCTTCACTCAATTTAAAATAAAAAGTTTATTAAAAAAAGAAGAAAGCATTACTGTTGAACCAACTCCTACTTATGGAGACCCTGTGTGTGTCAGAGTAGAAGTGTTCTCTGTCGGGTTTTCAGTGGCTTCCATTTTGAAGCAGATCTTCAGGCTTTCTTTCAAGGCACTTTTGGTTGGACTCCAACCTTTCAGTTAGGAGCTGAGAGTGTTAACTGTTTCCACCCTCTTGGGACTTTATTTAACTTTATTTAAAACAATCTCCCTTGAACACAGCACTCTTTTTGGCAAAATACCTATGTAAACCTAAAACACAGCTTGGTAAGCTCTAGTCTAGTGTCTTCGATATCTAGAGTCTTCCTGCTGGGGATAGGTCAGATAGCTGGAATATTTGTTCATATCTCAGAAATTTCCTAGCCTGTGGGACCAACCACGCTTCCCTTGTCAACCTGATGACACCTGAGTAGCAGCCTGACCAGGCTGCATGGGAGAATCTCTGCACTGTAGCAGGCGATGTCACATGGCTCTCTCTCTCTCTCTCTCTCTCTCTCTCTCTCTCTCTCTCTCTCTCTCTCTCT